TGTTGGGGGTTGCAGGGTGGAGCCCAGCAACCAGAGTAACTTGTGAGGGTTTAAAACCAGTGTTAATTTTAAATAGCCACCCAAGGTCCATCTGCCCCCAGAACATTTACTTTTTGAGAGGGTTATTTTTAAAGTAAAGCTATCCTAAAAGGCTGAAAATTATAGGTTTCCTTTTTCTACTGATAACACTGCTATACCCTTCATAGTCCCCCAAGACCACTTTTTTTTTTTTTTTTTTGCATTATCTCCACTCTTTTCTTTTCTCAACTATCCTAAATGAGGGAATGAATCTTGGGTTCACAGAAATTGGAGGAAAAATTATTCCATTTTTTACTTAGTTAACGATTATCTATGCAATCAAAAAATTGTGATTAACTCTAATTCAACCAATCAATATCAAAATGCAATATTTGTTATATTCTGAACTGCACCAGTAAAAAAAATTATTTGCTTAATTAACAGCTTTGGCTTAGCTTATTTGGAAAGAATTATCCATTTGTGTACAACTTACATTGTCTAGAAGAAAAAGGCAAAAATAGGTAAAAATGCTTTTGTGATTATTTTACAGAAGTACTTTCAAATAGTTAACATAAGGGAATGTATTAAACAAATTGGTTCTACACTACATTGAACAATCTTATATCAACTCTTTGTTTTTGAGGATTAGCATCATCAAGGTATCAGAAGCTATTTGAAACCAAAAGCTTTAGCTATAGGAAGTATAAAAAAACCACAAATAGTTATTAATTGTAATGTCAGAACCTAAATCAATTGCTTAACTTACACAAGATACCAGTAACCATTATTTTGATAGTCATTTATTCTGGGGAATTTTAATTATGTGTTCTTACAAAGACATACTGGGTCATTTGAAGACTGACTGCTTAAAGTCTTTACTATGGAATCCTGAATCCGATAGTTTACATAGTTTATATCAGGTTCAAGATTCCATAGTAAAGACTTAAGCAATCAGTCTTCAATGATCCAGTATGTCTTTGTAACAACACATAATTAAAATAGATACATATTGCTACTATGTAATTGGGACAAGTGCATACAATTAAAATCTACGGTAAACATTATTAGATTTAACTCCCAAACTAAATATATTTAATTAGAAGCAAATCCAACCAAGTTCAAATGAACTTTACTTTCTTATTAAGTGATTCTAAATCATAATGCAAAAGACTTTAAATACATTGATTATGGCATGTAAGTCATATACTGTCCTTCCCTTATTGATAACATTAATTAGAAATCAGATTTTCATTTGCAGGATGGGATGCTTTAGCCTACCCTACAGTACTCCTGGATCCAGCCCTAGATGGTGCCTGGCCCAAACGTATGAATAACTTCATGCTCAACTTCCAAATGTACAAAAAGAACAGGGGTGGAGAAAATGGCACAGATGAGAAAAAACAATCACTACAGGAAGTAAACAACAGAATAAATGAAATATATGAATTACTTATGACAGAAAGCTAGACTATAACTATATATACACACATATACAAACATACGTGTGTGAGTGTGTGTGGGTAAATCAACAAAAATAAAGGCAGCAAAAGCAGTTACAGCAAAATGCATAGAAAAAATTTGACTAAAAAACGTAAGCAATTAATGCAAGTACTATTATTTTTTCTAACACTCAGTAATTACACAAAGAAACAATTAAACTGAGCTGCTGTAAATGTGTATGCATTGTATTATATTAATTATATTGATATCACTCTTTTTACTAAATTCCCAAATGCCTTTCTATCAAAAAGAATACCATGCACCACAGCTCACACATACACTTCAACCTGACTCAAATTATTTTAAAAAATGGAAATAAAATAAAATAACTCCATTAAAATAAGCTGGGTTGACAAGATCAGAAATAAGGAGGTGATAAGCTGCCTGGGAAAACCAAGGGAAATCATCAAAACAATTAAAAAATGAGAATATTTCAGACATGTGATGCGACACCCAGAAAAATACAGCATACTCCATTTAATCCTCCAGGGAAAGATTGAAGGCAAACGAGGTCAGGCAGAAGAAGAACATTGTGGCTTCAAAATCTAAGGGACTGGTTTGGACAAAACTCAGCAGCACTTTTTCGTGCGGCTGCTGATAAAAACAGGATAGCCAACATGATCGCCAACGTCCGATAACAGATATGGCACAAGAAGAAGAAGATTAAAATATATCAGCAACACTGTCTGGAAACAACTAATTTAAATCTCTAATTCAGCAGTGGACCAAGCAAGCCCACAAAGGCCAATCTGGGCACAATTTGCACAGGGCACAAGCAGAATTCTGAACAGATGTAGATAAATAACCAGCACAGCTGTTTTAGAAGGGAAGACATATGCTTCTTGTTTCCAGACACCTTGCAAAGGACACTTCACAGGGAAAAAAATGCTTTAAAAAAAATCAAGTCACCTTCAAGTTGGTCTCAGCTCTTGATGACTTACATGGTTACATTCACAATTTTTTCATGAGTTATAGAAGTGATGTACCGCTGCTTTTTCTGGAATGCTTACTTTGATCCCCTAGTCAGCCTGCAAGCCCTAGATTTCTCAGATTTCTCATTCACCAAGATGAATCCTGCTTAGCTTTCTAAATTAGCATAAGTTAACAACAGTCAAAGCAGGGTCCAAAGCAGGGGTGTCAAATTCGCAACTTCATGTGACGTATTGCGAATTTTTTTCCCACTGCCGGATTTCAGCGGGGCCAGCAGTTTGACACCCCTGGTCTAAGGAAAAGCATGTACCACTATCAGGTACACCATTTGCAAGATCAGTCATAGTATTCTATGCTGCTACTCACCAATGAAAACTAGGCACACAACTTCAGAGTTGAATCTAGGAGCATGATCATATTCCAAGCAGGTGTGTTTAACTGGCCTGAAAACCTCTCCACTGCTGATTGCATACCTGCTTTTCTAAACTTCTATTTTGGCTACTCAGAGACTGATTAATTTTTCGGTTTCATTTGCACATTACAGATAGTCCTCAACTAACATCTGGTCATTAATGACCATTCAAATTTATGACAGACCTCCCCAGAACTACTTACAGACTATTTCCAGAGTTACAATGGCCACACACATCCCTGCAGACAGGTGACATTTTGGATACTTGGCAACTAGCTTATCTTTATGGCCATTCACAGCATCCCATAACCATGTAGCCAAGATCTGTGACATTTTTTGCTGGTTTCCTATAAATGACCATGGTAAAAGATGATCCTAACTTCAAATCTGGTCGTATGATGCCTCACTTTACAACCGCAATGACTTACAAGCATGGGATTCACTTACCAACTGCCATAAAATGGTTGTAAAATTATGTCTGGTCCAATGGATGCCTTAACTTAACTAAGGTCACAACTTACAACTGAAATTCCAGTCCCAATTGTGGTCATAAGTCAAGGATTATCTGAATGTGTCATTTACAGTCTATTGAGTTTTGAGCACAAAGCTGGAGGAATAAACACTAATCAGAAGCATAATGATTATTTTATTTAAACCCATTTTCTCCACTATATATTTATATAAAACCAGAAATAACTTGATAATTTTTTTTAAGTTGCTGATGGCAAACTTTTTTCCTGATTTTTTTTTCTTCATGTACCTCTTTGCACCTTTTGGTCCTGAATTCACACAGTAAATTCCCAATTTTCTGCTTTAAAAATCAGAACTAATTTTGTAGGCCAAGACCACATTTAGGAAGAAAAATTTATATCATGCCAAAGAAACTCAATTCAGATTCTTCCACTGCCTAAAAATCTTTTTTCATGATGTCACATTTGAAAGGACGTGTATGAACATGTAAAACTGGCTTCATTCCAGGCTCTCGCATTAGCTCATTGAGGCTGTGGAGAAGTGATAAACTTGGAAGCATGTATTACTTTTCTGTTGTGCTAAGAAGGTAATACTGTCTGCTACATGAAGCTATTATGCTTAATCCATTAGTGCAGTGGTCCCCAACCCCCGGTCCATGGACCAGTACTGAGCTGCAACATGCCAGCAACTGGGCCGCACAAACAAGCAAAGCCTCATCTGCGAGATGTAAGCAGCACACAAAACCACGCACCCTCCGGTCCGCAGAAAAACCTCTGTCCATGGAATTGGTCCCTGGTGCCCAAAAGGTTGGGGACCTCTGCGTTAGTGTATTTTTTAAGTTACAGCAAAGTTGATAATAACTTATAGTATACTTACCCCCTTTAACATAAACTCTAAGTAAGACTTAACATGAAACTCAGAAACATGACAATCAGAAAACTCAACAATGGTGCAGATTTTCATTCAAGGTAAGTGTGGTGTTCACTACAATCTTTCAACATTAAAATCCTGCACTTCTGCTTTTCTTACACAGATAAATTCCTGAGACATGAACTAAACAAGACATCCATCAAGAAATGATCACAAGTTATTTCACACATCAAATTTAATCCTTTCCTCATTCAAGTTGGCAAAACAAACTTTTTTCCCCCAGGAGGCTTTCAGATGTTCCTAAAGCCCTCTCAAAGGAATCCCCAAAGGACATAAAGAGGTGAAACATTAGGGGAGGGGGAAAAAAAAGTTCTGACTACTTTTATCTTCCACTATCTGCAATGCACACTGACCCAGCCCAGAAACGGCCTTCAAAGCAGCTCTAGCTTCCGCTAGGGAGTACTGGCTCCTTTTTTCAAACAGCCATTTTAGCTTAAAGTGCATCCTGTCTTTCAGCCCAGCCTTCATTTTGTCTGATTGTGGGGTTCCGGGAGGTGACAGCTGACGTCCAGGAAGAAAAAGGAGGGAAAAGAGGGCTGTTCGGTTTTTTTCTGGGACAACCCCCCCCCCCATTTTACCTCCCAGTTGCTGGGGAGGGGGGAGAGCCCGCAGTCTTCCCGCCTCTCTCCCGCCCGCCCCCCACCCCCTCGAGAAGCAGGGAAAGGCGCCGCGGCGAGAGGCGAGGGGAAGTCCCAGCGCCGCCTCCTCCTCCCTCAGGGAGACCGGCTCCTCCTGGAGAGGCAGGGGAGCCTGGGGACCCCTCTCCGGCAGGTCGGCCTTGCGATCGTCCCTCCCCCGGGCGGGCGGGCAGTACGATGCGGTGTCTCCCCGTCCCTCCCCCCGGGCGGGCGGGCGATCTGCGCCGTCTCCCTCTCCCCCCCCCCCCGGCAGGCCGTGCGAGCGCGGCGGGGCGGGCACTTACCGCTCCGGCAGATGGAGAAGCGGCGTCGTCCTCCTCCGGTGACGGCGGCCCGATCTTGCTGCAGGTAGCCGCCAACAGCGCCAGCGGCGACGGCTGGGTGTCCTACGCGGAGGGCAGGCCGGGGACGGGGGAGAGACGAGCGGGAGGGGGGGTTAGAAGGGCGCTCTCCCGCCGGCCTTCTTTGCCGCTGCCGCCTCCTCCTCCCTCCCCCTCCTCCCTCCGGACAGCGCGCGCGGCGGCGAAGGCGCCTACGAGTCCTGCGCTCGCGACGTGTCACCGGGCAGGACGGGGGGGGGGAAATCGCCGCGGGGGAGGGAGGAGACGTCGGGCAGCCGCCCGGCTCCGCATTTACCTGGGTTGTTCCGGCCTCGTCAGAGGCGTCAGCCGAAGTGGCTGCCGAGGCCCCGTTTCCCTGCTGCAAATACTCCCCGTGGGGGCCGCCGCCGCCGCTGTCCACGTCCAAGGCAGCCATTTCCTCTTGTTTCACAGGCTTCTCGGGAGCTGCGGGCATAACGGGGAAGCGAAGGCGCGGGGGGGAGAGAAGAAAGGCGGAGGGAAGCGGGGAGTGGGGGGGTGGGCCGGTTGTCGGCGGCGGGGGAGGGGAGGGGGAGTCACTGACTGGAGCGCTTGCCCCCTCCCTTCCCCATGCCCCAGCGCTCCCTCCCGCGCAGAGGAGCCCGCCCTGCTCTCCTCCTCCCGCCCGCCAAGCGCAGCCCTCCTCCTCCTCCTCCTCCCTCCGTGCTGCCGCCGCCGCCGCTGCCCCTGCCCCTCTTCTCCCTCCTCCCCCTGGCTCTGCTCCTCCTGCTGCTGCTGCTCAGTGCCGCTCGAGCCACACTCCCAAGCAGACGCCCGCCCGCCGGACCCGAGAGCAACAGCAGCAGGAGCCGCCGCTGAGGCCCGTACGTACCAGTCATGGCGTGGAGGAGCCAGCGGCGCCTTCTGCCGACTTGGCAGGCGGGGAGGGAGCGAGAGAAGCAGGAAGGAAGGAAGGAAGGAAGGAAGGAGAGCGAGCGAGCGAGCGAGCGCTGGCTGGCGGCTGGCTCTCTCTCTCCCCCCCCCCTCCCAGACGCGCGCAGGCCCCGCTTGCGCCGCCGCCGCTGCTGCTGCTACTAAGGCGAGGCGGCCGCGGCTGCTGCCGGGGACATGCTTATGGTGCGCGCGGGCGGCGGCGGTGCTGCTGGTGGAGGTGGTGGCGGCGGCCTGGAGCCCACTCCGGGGTTTTCCCCTATTTTGATTGACGGTGCGAGGAAGCCGAAAGGTGGGGCTTGCAGCAAGGGAAGAGGGGGCCCGGCCGACTCCGCCACCACCACAGCCGCCTTGCCCGCCAGCCCGGAATTTCCGCCTTCCCAGGACGCTCCCGTCAGCTGATTGGTTGCGGTCCGCCGAGCTCCGCGCCGTCACTGGCTGGCCTTGGCTGTCGCTCCTCCGCTGCGGGTGCCCCCCCTCCTCTCTTGCCGAGGTGGCTTCCTGTTTGCCAGGGTTTGTGTGAGAGACAATGAGCGCGGCCTTTTCGGAGGCGTCCGCGCTACGGGCAAAGGAGACCGGGGATTTGCTTGCTTCACGGAGGGACAGGCAGAAGCGGGACCGGCGGGACCGCTGCCCTCTCGAAAACACTGTAGAGCCGGTGTTAAATGTCCAGTTACGGCGGAGGGCCTGCGCTTGCTCTGTCCGTCGCTGATTTCCCCCTTGCCCTTCGGAAGGGCCGGGAGCGCTAGGATGTTAAGCGGGTCGCATCCGCTTTCAGTGTACATGGGGAGAGATTGGAAACTTCTCTCCTGGATGCCCCTTAAAAACTGCTCGTAACAGCAGATTCAGGGAGGGAAGGAAACGTGGAGGCCGCGCAGCCGTTGCGCTACAGAAAGGACAAGGAGAAGCGCGCAGGAACCGAAACTTCCCCATCAAAATACCAGACCGCACGTTTTGGGCCCAAGCGGGCTCACGGATCTGCCTCAGACTGGCCCCCAAGGGGTCGTTTTCTTTGCATGTTCTCTAACGGAGCTGGCCTTTCCATCCTTTTGTTTTTAGCCATTGTTTTTAAAATAACAACCCCGGTTCTCAGATTTTCAGAACAATCGTTCACAAATCCTGGTGTCTGAGTAAAGAGTGTAGTAAGACATCTCAAGTAAAATTACCTTATTTAAAAGAATTAGCTTAAAAAACAGAAGGCCCAATCCACACTTTAAAACTGAATGGCAAAACTTCCATTGGGATTAATTCTTACGAATTGTTCCTCTGAGAAGCACTTACATCTCAATGAACTCTGGAGAAATAACCATTGGTTCTAAGTGATCTTGGATTAATTCTCCAGTGAAATGAAAATCCATGGTTTGTTTTTTTTTTATGAAACCTTGGGTTGAACTGGTATTTTTATACCTACATTGGGTTTTTTCCATTGCTAGAAATCCCACTCTACAACATATATCACAACATTCATTCTAGGCATTTTTTTAGTTACTGTGTCTCACAGAATTTCACTTGCACTTAACCCTGAAATCTCAATCTGCCATGTAGAATGCTGTGTGTTTACATGGAATTAAGTAGGTCATAGCCTAATTCTAAACTTTCTTGAAAGACCCGCTTTTTGAGGTGTTAATTTCCTATTTTGGTTTTGTAAACAAGATCACAAAGCTAGATAAATGTTTAACATTCCTTTATGTAGACTGCCATCTATAATGTTTCTCAACCTAGAGATATGTGAATTTCAATTCCCCAGGCAGTATATAAATTAAAGATCAATTTAAAAAGTTGCATTATAACAATCATTATGCATATTATCTCAAGGAGAGACCCAATCTAGAACTAAGGAGAACTTTCCTGATGTTTAGAACAATCAGTGGAATGACAACTCCAGAAGTTGTGGGTGCTCCAACACTGATCGTTTTTTAAAAGAGACTGGACAGCCATTTGTAATGATTTGGGGTTTTCTGCCTGAGCAGGAAGTTGCACTGAAGATCTCCAAAGTCCTTTCTAACTATTATTCTGCATCTGCTATCACACATAGCACAGTAAATAAAAAGTACAAGTTTAACCCACAATTCTGTAAGAGAATCAATCTAATAAGCATACTACAAAAAATTAAGGAAGAACTCTTGTTTAATTCAAAATACTAGCAACGCTCAAATTTTTATTGTTTAAAGAAGACTGATAAGCCAGATACAAGATTGGAAACAGCTTTTTTTGGTGTAACTTACTGGATTAAAAAAAAATGTAATGTTTCCCTCCCTAAGTAGCAATGAGGGAAAATATTTGGACATTCTCAATGATTGAAATGAGGAACCCCCAACATTTTAGGGCTTGTAATATTTTGAGAACATATTGTCATCCTGCTTCCCCATTCACAAAATAATTGCTATTTGGGGCATACTCAGAGGAAATCAATTTATCAGAATACTAACTACTAATTTCTCTAACATCCCTCACCCATGCTATAGGATGCTTTTTACTCTTCTACTAATGCTACTATTTGGGGAGGATGTGAACACAATTCCAAACAATATACAGATACAGCTGTCCATTTCTATATTTCTCTTTTTTTATAATTAAAATTTTCTATATGCCTCTTTTTTGTAGTTAAAATATTTGTTTTTAATGTAAAAATTCAGGACTGGGACCTGGCAAACCGAAGGAAAAGTGACTGAGTATATTAGCATCCCTGAACTCCACATGCAGATGCCAGATCTAAATAGGCTGAGGATGCTGAAGATGATCTGTCAGCTTATATTGTAGCTTTCCAACTTTGAAATTTTCTGTCTTGAAAGAAACAGACATAAAGAAAACTGAAGGCTGATATAGTGGTGGATTTCCCTTCCAAGCTTGAAGGTTGATGTCAGGAGGGAAAATGATAATTCCCAAGAGTTATAGCATGGAAACATTTTTTTTTTTTGTAATCCTTTGTGGTTTATGTAGATTTTTAGACCTTTACTATGTAGTTCGTTCAATGTTCCCAATTCTTTCTTCTCTTCTACTTTTACTATCATAAATTACTTCAGTATGAAGTAATGTCTGCTTTTTTAAAAAATGCAGATCTTGAAGAAATGTCTTTGGAAAGGGAGGCTGAGGGAATAGTGTCCATTTAGAGCTGCCAAATATGTTAGATAAATACCACATCCTGCAATATGCATTTCATGGAACAAGTTGATTACTAAGGAAGATGGGAATTGTTACTTCTTGCTCAAATAAAGTAACATCTAATTACAATTTTTAGGAATGGTTTCATATGTTTCAAATGGTTACTTCATTACAATATCAAGGTATATTTACTTGAAGAATATCTTTTCCTAAAATAAATTTAGAAATAAGATCAGTTGATCCATTTGTTCAATAGAAGGATTCACAATACAGATAATAAATGTTTCAGGGTAAGTTCAGCAAGTAATGGAAGCTGATTATGTGCAACTTAAAAGTTTGCAGATGAAAAAGGACAGTGATGTAAAGACAAAATTTAGTTACATGCAAAACACCATCCATCCTTTTAAAAATTCAGAATGAAGAATAAGTACAATAACAGAAATCTAAATAATCCAAAAAAGAATAAAAAGCATATGTTAAAATGGTATTTCCAACAACACATTCAGATAAATTGATAACTTGTATAATATAAATATTGAAGCAGACTTTTTAATAGAAATTTTGTATTTGTGTAGTTTGCATAGTGATAATATAAATGGATTTAACAACAACAAAATAATGTCTAGCTGGAAGCAGTTCCTGGAAACAGGTAAAGAGAGCAAGATGGGCCATATCCAGTTATTCCCATCCATCAACAAGCATAAAACAAGTAATTTCTCCTGTCCTCAAAATCTGAAAAAGCTGAGGAAATAAAAAAGAGAATCTGCTCCCATTGGAGACACATTCAAGACCTCTGAAACCCTTCGTACTATAGATTTCCCTGTCTTTGCTATAGAAAAAAAACTTCACACTAAGTCCAATATATTGCTCATGTTAAAATTTGACATAGATTATCTTTGAGGTGAGGTGAAACAGTCTCACAGATTTTTTTTTTCAAAATCTATAATGACTTAATATGGCGAGTGAACAAAAAACAGCTACTAACTACAGCTTAGT